GTTTTCTGCTCCTCAAAACAAGAAAAACTGAGGAATCTCTGCCAAAAAGATTAACACTGAGACAGAATTGCCCCCTTAAAAAATAGAAAAAAAAATAAAAAACAGAAAAAAACATCAGATGAAGTGAGAGAAGCATTCACGCCCCCCTGTTTTTGTGTTTTGTTGTTTAGTCTCATTTGAAATGTGGGAGAGACACAGTCAGAGGAGCTTGAAACCTCACCGGGCCATAATAACACCTTGACAATTCAACCCACATGTGCTGCGGCGTGCTGGGCCCGCAGCCTCGGGGCAGAACCCCGGCCTCCATGTGGAAGGGGTTTTCTGCCCGGCACCTCCAACACGGCTGCCCCGGAGCCACATCCAGCTCTGTAGGATTAAACATCACGGCCAGCTGTGGATTAACACAATTTGCACCTCCTCTCGGTGCAGGTAACACCCGCACCTCCTCCAGGAGGTCCAACTGGGCTGCTTTAGCCGTGGTGCTTGTAGATTCAACAAAACCTGCAGGACTAACAGCTGAAAGAAAGATGTCTGTCTCTCAGGAAGCCAGGTTTTGTTACCAACAATATTACATTTACAAAGAGTAAATTCAATTCCATCAGCATAATGTAATAAGAATAAGATAATCGAATTGAAGCTCACTGCTGTTTTAAAACGCTTGAACAACTTCTCGGGGCGTTTGGTTTTGCCCTCAGTGAGCTGAGACTCTGCGGCGTTCAGGATTTCTCTCACATCCTGCCGTCGATCAATCACTTCTGAGAAGGGACCCTATCATAACAAGCTCCTGATATCAAAGCTCTGGACATCTGTGTTGTATATGAGAGTGTCCAGAAAATGTCTGTCAATGTCTGCTCTCTGCTTGACAAGTTTCTCTTTTACAAGCCTTTGTTTCTTCAATCTGAGGTTAACTTACAGACGTGCATTTTCTCACAAAGACTCGTGTTTTTGGGTTGAATTGAATTCGGAGGAACAGAAGGAGAATCCAGTAAATACGTTTGTGTTGTAAAGAGCATCTGAACRATGTGTAAATTATCTGGAGACATCTGGGTTCAAACTGAGCAGATTTTGGTCTTAAAGTAAAAGCTTCGACATCTGGAAACAGATTTAAAGCCTATTGWTTTTCCACCTCCTGTGTACAAACAGATTTTAATGAAAAAAATAAGAAAATATTTTAAAATTTCAAAATTAAGTGTTTTAAAACAGTGTATCTGTGTTGACTGGAAGCACAGAGCTTCTCAGAAACACTGCTGTTCGTTTTGCACACCTCCACCTGCGTTCGGTGTCCTAAACACCAAAACATCACGGTAACGTTTTCTTTTACAGTACCCCTATTACCATGTAATTACGAGGTAATAAAAATGTAATTAAATGTAATTACTACCTTATTACCATGTAATTAAAAGGTAATAAAAATGTAATTAAATGTAATTACTACCTTATTACCATGTAATTAAAAAG